AGAGAGACTAACAAAGAGACAGAGGACATGATGTCATAAACAATGTCCCTGATGGGCTTACCTGAGCAGGTGAGAGTCAGGAAGGAGGAAGAGGAATATGATGCTGCACACTCCCTCAGAGCAGATCCAGGCTGAACACAGTCAGGTCTGATCCACCACACAGGTCTCTCTGAGGACTCCTCTCTCTCTCCCACAGAAACAGCAGAGCCACAGTCGAGCTCTCTGCAGGCGACTCCTGCTTCCTTCAGGGTCCAGAGAGAGTTAGAGATCCACACTGGTCTCCATTCTCCCTGATGTTCCACCTCCAGGTCTCCTGCACAGCGACTCTCTCCTCCCACCAGCCTAACACCAGGCTCTGGAGAGAAACAAGAGAGTCGTGTCCTTCATTGATATTAGCATATTTTAATAATGAATCATTTATTCTATTAATACTTCCGAGTGATAATCAGATCATTAACTCCAGCTCTCTATAAACCAGTGGTGGGAAGTAATAAAGTACATATACTCAAGTACTGTAAGTACAGGTTTGAATGACTTTACTGGAGTATATGGTTTTATAATACTTGTTAGAGCCAGTATTTAGCTTTGATAAGAAAGGCCTAATTGTGACGTCTGTAGTCAACGCACTATAAAGGACTACATTTCCCACGGAGCCTGTGCTAAAGCCACAGTGATGGGCAACCTGTTGAGAGACGCCGTCGAGGAACAGTTGTTAACCGTACACGTACACGTACATACAAATGGTACAAGTACCCTTTAAGTTATGAAGTTATAAGCATTATCAAGAAAGAAAGAATACCTCAGTTGTTTGTTATTTTATTTGAGTTTGGCCTATTTCTTTTGAATATTGGAAAGGCCTATTTTCTTTGTTGCATGTGCAAAAGTTTGTTATTTTATTTTGAGCAAACACATCGCAACATCATCTAAACCAGGGGTGTCAAACTCAATTTCATCGCGGGCCACATCAGCATTATGGCTGCACTCAAAGGGCCGGTTGTAACTTTAAGACTATATAAACATACATATATAAATATTTAATATATCTAAAATAATGTATTATATTACTTTATTGCCTCTGCATTGGATTATTATCGGATAGGGTAAAAACTTCATAAATAACTACGTCTGAAAGAAGATGTCAAGGGCAAATAAGTGCAAGTATCTTCAGTGAGAATGTCACAAAATTATTTAAAAAGAAAAGCCAAATTATGAAAAAAAAATCAAAATCAAAACAAAAAAGTAACAATTTAAAAGAAATTCTGAGAAAAGGCATATTTTGAAGAAAAAAGGTCAAATTCTGAGAAAAAGTCAAATTTAAGATGCATTGTGGGACATGTAGTTTATGGACATCGTGCTTCTGTAAATCAGCATGTAACCGTATAATAAACATATTACATTCTTTCAGAGCTCTTAAGGCATATTTATACTTTTTGTTTTTCAAAATACCAAACAGATCATGCATTTTAGCGATGCCTCATTTCGCTCAATTTGACCATTTCTAGCTCTGTTTTAGCAAGGGCTGATTCAGTGAGAACAGCACCATCTACAGGCCTGGCATATGTACTACAGCGTCTCCAGCGCTTTTGAACGGCAATGGCCGTGGCTGTCTCCTCCTGATTGGTGGAGTTGGCCCAATAGCCGTAGCGCCACCGTCCTGACGTCAGGACAGTGTTCAAATCTGGATCAGTTTTTATCAGATCCGTTGCAGCCCCTTTTTTAGAGATTTGGGTATGGAGGAAAATAGAGAGGGTTGTGTTTTCTGACACTTGGTGAGTTCCCTGGAACACCGGGGACACATATTCATGTAGAAAAGACGTACAACAGTGCATTTTGCATGATAGGTCCCCTTTAAAGGAAAGAAAATAGTTAGAACTGTCTGTGTAGAGCAGGGGTGGGGAACCTTTTTCCTCTCAAGGGCCATTTCCATGTTTTCAACATCCTCCGAGGGCCGTACCAATGATTGACCTCTGCTTCAAAAGACTCAAATCACAGCCCATTCATTTGGCCTTTCTTTCATGCTGTGCAAAGAAAAAGCAACCTCTTAATCCAGATATCTCACCATGACTCACGCATGCATGCACGTGCACGGTGTGGCATGCATGCACGTGCACGGTGTGGCATGCATGCACGTGCACGGTGCGGCAAGCATGCACGTGCACGGTGTGGCATGCATGCACGTGCACGGTGTGGCATGCATGCACGTGCACGGTGTGGCAAGCATGCACGTGCACGGTGTGGCATGCATGCACGTGCACGGTGTGGCATGCATGCACGTGCACGGTGTGGCAGGACCACCACAACAGAAAGATATGGACACAAGATGTGTGCAAATGTGTTTAGTTTCCTATCCATGTGAACATGATTTAAGTGGGGGGGGACCTAACCTCCTCTAGGGGGGTCCAGGGGGACAAACCAGGGGACTTTACTTCCTCTTGATACCGTGGGTTATTTACAAAGAAACACCTAAATATAGCCTACTTGTTGTTATTGTGCTTCTGTCTTTCTGTGTCTTCTCATCTGTAAACTCCCTCAACGCGCAGCTCGCTCTCTTTTCTTGATCGCCCTCTCACGGGTGAACAGTTCACTGTCCCGCTTCATTGTAGGATTTCTGCCATGTACCACTTTAGTTTGACCATCTCTGTTATTAAGTTATGGAATACTACATTGAATTGTCCCCATTCTTTCTTTAATAGTTAGTAACATTAGATATTTTAATGAGATATGGACCGCAAAACTAAAAATGTCCCTGGTTTTCATTTTTTAAATCAAGTCACCGAATGCAAGTATAGTCGCCTTAGCTTATTTTGTTATGAGATGTGAATTACTGTTCAATTTAGTTGATGTAATAATCGTTTGGTTTCTTTTACATTAAAAACAAGTTACAATTTTCAAAAGGTCTTATGTTTTTTTCCGGGGGGAGGCCCTTTTTCCAGTTTAGAGCAATAGCCCCTCCAAATGTCTGCACGTCCCTGCCTGGAAGTAGAACAAGTCATTCAAGTTATCTCCACCTTTACCAGCTGCTAAATTCAAAATGATGTTCACATGAATGGATCATTGATTAGAATCCAGACTATAATATATCATTATGAAAATAGTCGTACTATGAGTCATATTAATGATGGTACTTTAAGCATTATTTGATCCTAATACTTTGACCTAAGTACATTTACATACCAGACTTGTTCTTGTTACAGTATTTCTACACTGTGGTATCACTTCTTTGAATCAAGTATAACATCTCCCCCACATCTATAAACTAATAGGACCTGAAACATGAAACATATGATTAAGTAGAGCTAAAAAACATTTCAATCAGAAAGCTAAACGTAGAGATTAGTAGCATGTTTATGTGTGGCTCTGTCATTTGAACCCTTTGGTGAACATGTGCAACATGGGTCCGTGTACGTGTGTGTTTCTCTTTTAACACAAGAAACTAAATCCCCCAAAAATCCCATAAAGATTTTCAACAAAAACTGAAAAAAGGAACACAAAAGCCTTTTTTCTGATGTTGTTGTTTGTGCAGGTAAATAAAAAGAATACTGTTGAGCTTGACACATGTTGCCTAAGTACACTGCACACAGATAAGAAAGACAAATAATGGCCCTGCCACAGACTGCAGTAGCGAATACATTCGGGGGGCTGGTAGCCCTGGTCCAGGGACGGGGTTTGTGATCTCATCTAGTGGGGAAAGCCCTACTGGGTGCCAATATGGCCAAGCAAGGATACCTTCGTGAAGAGAGACTGGAGCCTTTGGAGTGGGGACCTTATGTTCCCGGTGAATGTGTAATTGGTAGAGTTGTTACTGCCATGGTAAGATGGCACGGCTCCCTAATGGGCCGACTTTGAATCCTCCACTGGATTGCCTGGTCTCGGAAAGAGAGGGAGGCAAAGTGTTACTGTGCAGAGACTGCTCTTTGGAGCATCAGCCGAGGCTGAGAGTTGGCACTTGGCCACCTCAGGATAAGGCAGCATATCTAGCTGTCATTGCACGTGAGATGGGGAGAAATGAAGGACCTGCGAGTCCCATCTGGGACTTTTTCTGTTCAGAGCAGTTTTGTCTGCTAGTTCAATATAGGATCCAATGCATTCTGTTTTTGGTCAAATGAAGAAGACATTTGTGAATGATTTACGGCTAAAAATGTTCTTTGCTTTCAATAAAGCTAAGTGGGGACTTTTGGCTTTTCTTATTATTCTAGCTGTGGCGATAGTTTTAGGTGTTTTGTTCAGATTTGGACTGCTTCAACAAGCACTACTGTACATCACAACATTATTTTAGTTCCTGATCAAATTCACCTTTAAGATGATTTGGCTGGCCCTTAAACTGCTAAGGCTAATCTTAAAATGTACATGTTTCTTTTTGGGTCATGGGTTAACAAAACAAGGGAGTTAAACAAAGGAAGACATTTAGGGAGGGAGAGTCCTGTTGTTCAGGGGAAATGGA